GAAATAAGGCGAAATTAAGGAAAACACTAGGTGATAGATTTATAGGGCTTCAATTGCTCTGGATAATAGTGAAATGTAGAACATGGGTTTAAAATGTAATTTTGCTGAATATTAACTGAACCTAGCTTAGTAATCTTGCTTTTGGACATCGGGTCTGTTTAACCTAATTGTTTGCTCTTAATTAGTTCCAAACTACTGCACCAAAAAGCTGTTATATGCGTCCTCCTGGCGGTACCCTTGCTCCTGGTGAAAGTATTATTGCTACAGGTAATAATATAATTTTTGGCCTTTTACTGTATGCTGTGAATTCACCGCTTCTTTCAAAACTACTTGCAGTTGACATGGAATGAGGATATCATTTACTCTATGTTTGAATATATGCCAATATTTTTTTTATGAATTTTTTGTCTAGCTTCTATTGATACCTTTCTTTTTTCCTCTTTGAATATGAACTACAGTCTTCAAGTTTGTGGAGCAACCAGAGAATAATGAAAAGCAACTAGACCAAAAGAGCAAGGTAAAATTCAAGATAATGAGCCTGAAAGTCAAAGCTGGGATAGACTATGTGCCTGAGCTGGTAAAGAACTTGCTCTACATCATAAATTAATAGCTATATTAGCATTTTCTTCTCTCTCTCTCTCTCTCTCTCTCTCTCTCTCTCTCTCTCTCTCTCTCTATGAAGGATTTAATGAATGACCTATGCACCCATTGGATGGAGTGAATTTTATATGAGGAATTTTTGGCTAATTGTCTTGGATCTGACCTTGTTCCTTCCTGGGGCGGTACAGAAATTGCAATAACCTCCTCTGTTTACACTTGTGGCATGTCTAACTGGTTTTGCAATGTTGTCTATCTGAAACGAAATTATGCTCTGATAGTAGTTGTTTGGGAGGAGCAAGTGCATAGTGTTTTGTGTCAGATGCTGTCTAATCTCTAAAGGACAAAGATGGATAACAGAGGCATCTGCTGATTGACAATGTGTTCGTCCATTGCTTGTCCCATGATAGTATGTGGCTGCTCTCTGGCTGGGCATACTTAGGAATGGGTTGATCGACCCTCTAGTATATATAGTTAAGGCGATGATGGTGTTTCTTCTTATTTCTTTTCACCACAATATCTTTGTTCCATGTGCTTCTTGGGGAGGTCTTGTCACTGCCAGTTGGTATTGAGTTAGGTTTGCTATGTCCTGGACCTTTGCTTTCTGTTTCAATATAAACTGACTAGATAGAAAATGTGCTTTTTAATGAAATGCCGTTTGCTGACTCATATTGACAAATTTCTTGCAGTTTGATGAACAAAAGGATCAAGTAACGGTGGAGCGAATTTTACGTGTTGTCTTTCTAGATGTCGAGCGCCCCAGTCCTGTAAGTCGAACTTGCCTGATTGTGAGTTGTGTGACCTGCTCCTCTTGTTGATTACCATAGGCAGCTGACACCAACGCTGGGTGTTTTTTCCTTTGTAGGCAATGGAAAAACTGAAGCGTCAGTTGGCAGAAGCTGAGGCTGCTCTTGAAACGCGCAAGAAACCTCCAGTAGAAACAGGAGCTCAAGTTGTAGGAGATGGTCTCGTGATAGATGAATGGGTAAATTTTCTGATTGACTCATGGTTTCTTTACACGCGTTTAAGTATGCCTTATCTTAAGTGCTTTAACTCCGTTAACCTCCTATCATCTCAGAAGGAGCGAAGGGAGAAGTATCTGGCTCGACAACAAGTCGAAGCTGTCGGATCAGCATGAAAGTCATTCGATCTTGCTTGAAACACCATCTTGGCCCAAATTGGAAAATGTCAAATCAACCTTTCCATGCATGGGCTTGATGCGTGTTAACTGAAACTAAGGAAGGGTGGTGAATCGGCTTAAAGGGCTTCATGTAGAGAAAGAGTGGCTTCTGGGATGCCTCCAGCGATGGCCTTGTAGAATTACTGAACAGAAGGATGCAAGTCGGGGATGATATCAGAATTTGGGCTGTGGCTACTTCCTGTCAATGGATTTTGCTGTGTCATGAAGTATAATACTGTCCGAATATGTCGTAGTTTGTTTGAGATATGCAGATCGGGTCGTCGGAAAATGTATGTAGGTGTTTTCTTCCCCTGTGGATTTGATGCTAGAATCTAGGTTAGATATCGTGTTTGTGTATTTAATGGCGCCTGTTCCTTTTGAAATTTTACCTTTACATATACATTTTTGCCTCCTGTCGTGAGTTAATTTTCCTTCGTATAGCAATGACAGGTAAGAATTTAGCATAATTTCTATGAAGTGATGGTAGCGAATTTGTTGTGTGTGTGTGGACGTCCAGTTCGGGTGTGAAATGGCTTACACACTGATCAAAGTTCATCACTATCATTTGGTAAATCATTCGATAGTAAAACCGGTTGATGTTGCTAGCATCGTCAGTTGTTACTGGGCACCATGGACGCCAGCCATCAGATTCGTTGTGCGAGCGGCGAGGTTGGGTTTATAGACCAAAGCATAGTGGTCATGGTTTGCATTTTGCATTAGCAATGCTTGATGCTTCTTGAAGCGGAAGATAAATTCTTTACCTTCCTTGTACTCATTCCGGGATCAGCAACTTACGTTGATAAGTGAAGAAAGAGAGGTCGGAGGGAGGACGGAAGACATGGTATGACAATTTAAGCAATTCTGAGAACGACTTTCAGACTTTCTTTATCGAAGTGGAAAGGAACTTTGGACGGATCCGACGACTTGGGGGAAGAAGGGACACTGATTCAGCGTACATGATTCAGTGTCCATGTGCGCTGAATTCCACCATCTCTAACTGTTCCAGTGACAGTGAGATCATCCCACAGTTTAGGCGCGTAATCAAGCCTATCTGAATCGTTACAATGCCAAGCTCCATCTTAAGCTCGACTCGAATAGTCGGCGCTCGAAACTCTCGATTCGAACTTGAACTTGATCCATTAGTAATTTTCCTTCTCAAACTTGACTCGATTGAAAAATCAATATACTTGACCATCACCGATTCCAATCCCTTTATAAGTAGACCTCGAACTGGAGTTTGAGCTTGACTTTGATAAGGTCGAATATTATGTAATAAGAGTTTTCGTCATCTATTTTTGTAATTATGAAATAAAATATATAAGATACTAATGAAAGCTCGAGTTGAGTATCAACAAGTTCAAATTTTGATTCCACGAGATATTTGAGTGGTTGTACTCGAATATGACTTAACAAGATGCTCAAGTAACTCGTACTGCAGCTCGAGTCGACAAGATACTCTAACTCAAACTCGAGTTCAATGACGATATCAAAGAGTCATTGAGCTAAAACCCGAATCATTTGCGGGTAGGCTCCAATCCCGCGCCCTCAATTTCGTCTGGTAAGAGAGTCCAAATTAAACTAACGCCACAGGTATTACCTCTGAACGCGCACTGTGTGTGTGTATCAAGATCGCTGGTTTTTTAGTCGCCAATGGTTTTATCGGAATTGGATCAATTCCCATCACGTTTTTAGTCCCACCACTCGCGCTATCTTATCTTGGAGCCTATTTATCTGGCGCTGCCATCGCCTACCTCGCTCCTATCCTCTTAATCACTCACGCCCACCAACATAAACAAGAAGGGCATGTGCATTTCCAAGAGATCCTGCATTCTAGTCGCACTAGGGACTGTAGTCGGGCTAAGAGAGATGTCGCATGCGAATCCCGGATCGTCTGCTCTCAAGAAGAACTTGAAAGCATCCGTTGGGTCGGCAAAGTCGCGAGTGAAAACGATGAATCTCGGTCCGGCCACATCGGATGCCTCGAAGTCGAAGGCCGGAAACAGCACGTCAAGTGGACATGAGAAGTGTGTGGCTGCGGAGGAACCACTGAGGATGGTGCTTTATCTCAGCTTCTGGGGACCCAATACATAGTACAAGAATGATTTATATACATGCATGCTTTGTCCCTACATCATCATCTTCGTCCTCTCACAAGTGTGAATACGTGCATGTACTTGATGATGTAGCAGGAGATTGTAAATAATCGGTGCTTTGATGATAGCTACTCTTGAATTTGTGAGCTATATTCCTAAACTTTACAGTGAAAATAAAGCATGTAATATTGTGATTGAGAGAGAGAGAGAGAGAGAGATGAGTTGGGAGCAACTGAAGTGAGGGTCGCTGGTGCAAGCACCATCATTTTCCTCATGATTATGGCGAGGTGTTCATGCGGTTTTAAGGGGAGTTTCTCTCTGCAACATGTACACATATATCCATGAGCATATACTACTTTTTGAGAGACTTGTCCATCCTTTTGACAGTGTACACTACAGACCACAGATTGATAATAAGTACATGCTGGGTCTGCTATTTTTTATGACAGTATCCTCCTCCCCTCATGAACTAAGATTTTGGCTTAAGATTTGAATGGCGAAGACAATAGGGGAAGTGATGTTATTAGGGAATCTAAAAGTTCAAACAGGCCGCCGTCATCGACATCATGTAATCCTTATGAACTCACCGTCAAAACTAATAGGTGAAGAAACAGGACGAGAGGATTGTAACAACACGTTTAAGGAAAAAGAAGCAAAATTATGGAAGGGAAGACTCCCATTAACTATGGAATCACACGATTCATGATAGCTTTTTTTAGTCCTGCAAGAGTTCGTAGTCCTAGATCACTGACAACCATTCAACTTTTTCGTTGTACATATGGCATTTTGAATTAACCGGTCATGGTTCAAGATCATCATTAGGTATATTTTTATATATCATACGTATATATTACTCTTTGAGAGATGGAAATTTTAGGCCTTTTCTACATGTCGCGAGACCTTAGACTCGCAAAATTGTCAGGAGCTTTCTGAGTTATCATGGGGCTGATGATGATTATTGCTGTCAGATCGATAATGAATTCCTGCCAGTCGTCTAATTGCCCCGAACAACTTTGCTAGAACATCCCCAGAATTTACTTTTGCTGTCATCTGTTCTAGCTGCTAGAAACAGGGAGAAGCAAAGAGAAGGGAAAGAGAAAGGTTAATGGAGAAACTACAGAATCGGAGGAGAAAAAAGAGAGTGCACTAGAAAACCAGAAACACATACTGTACATAATGGTCCGAGTCATGGCCGGTCGGAGAGTGCGTAAAACACGTTGAAAGTACCAAACAAATGACAAACGAACGACCGATCCAATCTCTCTCTCTCTCTCTCTCTCTCTCTCTCTCTCTCTCTCTCTCTCCCTCATACATTGTGCGGCAACGAAAAGTTCTGCGACCCAAAAATCTGATAACCACTATTCTGGACGAAGACGGCGATGCCGCACTTGCTGCTGTTGAAGCCCTCCCACAAAGGGAAGCTCACGGTCCCCGAGACCGTCTTCTTCGCCGACACGTCCTTGACGGAGCAGAGCTTCTCCAGCTTCCGGACGACGAAGTCGTTGGTCAAGACTCGGCCCTTGTTCTCGCCCTTGGAGACGTCGGTGACCAGCCCGCTCTCATAGAGTGCCACCATTATGTTCACGCCGTGGCCGTCAACTTTGCTCTTCAGCGCTCCGGCGAGGGAGACTTGCAAGGTGTCCGGCGATGGCCGCTGGAACTTTGCCTTGTATATGTATGCGAAGAGAGATGGCTTGCATGTCAGTCGGGAAAGTCAACGATCGAGACTTTGTCCTCAAGTTTCCATACATTCTATACATTCCAGTGCTAGAATTATGAAGATCTTCAGAAAATTGCTAATAATAAAGTCAAATCGCTACAATCCTTTCATCAAGTGATGTGATAATTTTCAATTATCGTTTTCATTAATCAATTATGAAGACATGTTCGGTACTTTAAAATATTTTGAGAATGGGCCGTGCAATCGGATCGGTTTTACTCGGAAATCGGATCAGACCGCCTGAAAATCGGTCCGATTCTAAGTTTCTATTGGAACCGATCCGATTCTTGATTCTAATTTTGAAACCACCCAAGAAGCCAAACTGACCGGACCGAATTTGAAACTTGTTTTATAAAATCAAAAACCCTAACTGTTCTCTCGACATCTTTTTCTTTGTTCTCTCCAATCTAACTCAGACATTTCACGATTCTCTCTCTCTCGCTCGCGACTCACTCTCCTCCTCACTCGCTTGTGGCTCGCCCTCGCTCATTCGTGCCTCACAACCGTCACTCCTTTGTGTATTGCCTTTGCTCGCTTATTCTCGTTCATCTTTTACTTTAAACTATTTAGTTGCTCATTTTATTTTACTATAAAAGATACAAAAATACAGGTTCCCTAGAGCCGGACCAAAAAAACAAGGTGACTAGGTTCTCACCTGAAACCGACCACTCCTACTTCGAGAACCTTAGCAATGAAAATGGGCTTGGTATGATGATATAAACACTTTCAATTGTATATTTCACGAATTCGTTATTTACTCGTCAAAATTGTACTATCTCCACATAAAAGACAAGGAAAACGACTAAACATGGTGGCTAATAATCAATCAATTATTCGAATGAAGTATCGATATATTCAACAGAAAGAGATTCTAAAATTGTTTAAAGATCTTCCGATCAAATCATTTGTTTTTCAATCGCAACATTTTGAATTTAATCAAAAGAAAATCTAAAAAAAAAAAAACGAGAGCTAAAACGAAAGATCTGAGAAGAGAGAGCAAACTAACCTGGAACGTGGGAGCTGGGAACCGAGGCGCGGAGGTGATGGCGGAGAGCAAACCCTCCTGGTCCGTCCCCACGCACTGCGCCCGCCCCTGCACCACCGCCTGCGGCGTGAACATCGTGTCCAGCCGCAGCGCCTCCACGTACGCCTTCTGCCGGACCGTGCCCTGGCTGGACCCGAACGGGTCCTTCCAGCCCACGTAGTCCCAGTAGTCCACGTGGTGCGCCAGCACGATCACCGGCACGTCCAGCTCGAAGTCCCCCCGCCCCAGTCTCGATATCAGCACCTCCCCCTCCGGCGAGGTGGTGCAGCCCTGCGACGAGAACAGCTCCACCAGCACCGCGCCTCCCATCCTCTGCTCCTCGGTGGCAGCCGCCTCGTCGGCCGTGGCGTGCCTCTTGTGGTGCGCCATCCTCCTGGAGGACACGCCGAAGCAGGGGAAGAGACGGGGCACCATGGTTCTTCGCCTCGTCGCCTGAGTAACAAAACGGTGGCGGGCGGGCGGGCGGGCGGCGAACGCAACACGAAACGACCGCTGCAAGAGAATTACAGATAGATAGCTGAAAATGGATTACGGGAACGGGAGCTGAGATGGGACGTGCTGATCGGAACGAAGGGAACAAAAGGAATGAGAGAAAACTTTGAGAGGAGGAAGAGGTTGGGAATGGGCGGCGAGGAGAGCGAGGCGGCGAAGAAGATGGTGATGGGAAAAAGATACGCGAGCTTCGAGTTTGGGAGTTAGCAATGGCTTATTGATTCTTCTTCTGTTGACTATTATTGTACGTGTTTTACTCGTTAGGACAGGTAATTCGATGCAATGGGTGTTGTTGAGGACCTTTACGTTGCCTCCACGACGTGACTCGCTCGCTCCCACGTTGTTTTGGATAAAAGAGGCGGAATTGGGATGGAAAGAGACACTAAATCAAATTGCACCAGACCGCCCTCCCTACCAATAGGTCCGTCAAACGAGTGGATCGGGTCGAGTTTGAATGAGTCGAAAATGGTCCTTCCCAAATTGACCATTTTAATCCGTTTTGACTTATTTTCATACGATTCAAATCTAGTAAGTCATATCCGGATCGATCCATATTGTTCAAAAAACTTTTATATTTGACACAATATAGGAAAACTCATACCTAAGCTGAGGTAAGAGTGCGGAGCGAGGAAGCGCGAGATTGAGTAAGGGCGAGAGAGTCGTAGAGGTGGATTGGGTTAAAGTAAGTTACGAACCCATTTAATCCATATTATTTTGAGTTATAGTTTTAAACCCATTTATGACCTATTTACAGAATATAACTAATCCATATAATAACTTATCCCATTAAATACGGGTTAAAAAATGGGTCCATGACCCATCTTGTCAAGTTTACCTACCAAATTATGCATCTATGAACTTTATGGACAAATCACATCCGTATATGGTGGTATTGCCCAGAGATGATGCCTGTCTAGGCTTGGTCGTCCCCATAAGCAAAATCGGTCTGTTTAGCGAGCAATTCCCTTCTTGAGCTTGGTCTGTCCCGTTTAGTACGTTCATGCTCGATCGGTTTTGTATAGTGTAATCTAAACGGAGATGTTAGGCCGGAGAATAGGCCGATTTCTCTGCGGTCGGGTGTAAATAATGGATTTGAAGAGAAGTTGATGTTTCCTTCTGCATTTGATCATATTGTCCCGTATGAGATATTGCACTTACACAGCTATGGCAGCTATAACATAATCCAGTTAACCTTGCATCAGAGAACATGGTTCTTCCCCCTTAGTTTTTACTGGAATTACAATTATTAGCCGTTGCAAACGTGCTTAAGAAAATAAACATCAGTTATAACTCGAACCAAATATTCTGACTGCGGGCTTGGAACTCCCATGATAAAGCACGATGGGGGCGCCGAGCCGACACTGACTGCCCTTGCCACCTTTTTCTTGACAGATAATTTCTCAACATAGAATGAGAAAAACAGTGTTCTGTACAAGGGCATGTTTTGCATTTGAATGAGTTCGGTGGAGGGATGTTGGCGGAGAGAAGTTGTCTCCAGACTTCTGGAGAATGTTTGCCAGCATCAGGAAACGAAGGCGGTCACATGTTTTGTGCTGTCTCTTTCTGTGGAACACGAGAGCGTTTTCTCATCCTCTGATCGCCTTCAGTTATATCTCAAGCAATTCGAATCATATGGCAACTGTGTACTGATGATGAATCGCTTGATTAGCTCCGTCGCTCAAGAGAGAGAGCACTGATGGGCAACTCTTCACGTCTCTTTGCTATTGAAGAAGTCGTCACTGTCCTGAATTCTTTGACGCCAGTCTTGGAGGCTGGGCAACCGCCGTTGATGGTTGCTTCTGCAGTGCAATGGCGGTATGGCGCTCCCGGCTGCGCAACCGGCAAAAGCCAGTTGGTTTTTGTATTTGGGTTTTCACAACGGTACAGTACGTCTTGATTACGGTAGGTCGTAAAGTTTTGTGAGGCTTTTTGTATCATGATTTTTGTTAGATCTAATTCAAAGACGATGTGCTTATTTAGCTAATTAAATTAGGGTTTGACGATTTATAGCGCGACACGACACGAAATTGGTGGGTTTGGATTTGTATCAGGAGTGTTCGTACCATTATCATGTCAATCCCGTTTGACATGATTAATAAATGAGCTGTCTTAAGTTTCAACTCTTGTTACCCGAAATAGACCTCCTCTGACCCATTTTATTAGATGTGTTATCGACCTGATTAATGACTTAACCTAAGTTAACCTATTCAAGTGTAAATGACTGTAATATAAGTGTAAATGAACACAAATCTTTGGCATACGAGAACAAGTTCGTGATTTTCTTTTTCTTTTTTGTTTTCGTTGTTCATGGTTACAAAATACCATCACAAACTTTTGTATATTTTTGTCAGATATTTCAGTTTTACGACATTGTTCTTGGTTACGGTGAATTATTGTCAACCTTCCTACATCATCGTAAGGAATCCTTTTTTTTTTTTTCCATGTTACGATATTTTGTTCAAGGTTATGATTGGATTATCATTAACATTCGTAAATAAGAAAATTCCAAATTTTACGAAATTTTGTTCATGGTTACAACAGACCGTCTGTAGCCTTTGTAAATCTTGATTAGTAAATAAAATTCAATTTTTACGACAATTTGTTTTTGGTTACGACGGACGGTCATAAACATTTATAAATTGTTGTAAGGAAAAATAAGTTCAATTTTACAACATGCCTTTCTTGGTTACAACGGATGATTGTAAATCTCTGTAAATCGTTGTAATAAAATAAATTCAATTTTTAGCACGTTTTATTCTTGGTACGACGGACCGTAAAAAACATTTGTAAATAGTCGTAAGGAAAAATAATTTTAATTTTGCGAGGATTTGTTCATTATACAAAAAATGGACTCTTCAAACATGAACTCACCTCGGTGATGGATACCTCTACAACCCGGTTCCTTGAAAGTAAAGAGAAATGCTTATGTGACTGTCTTTAATCTACTGTGAGAATAACAGTTTATTGTGCGCCACAAAAAATAAATAACAAGTAATTAAAAATTATTGTAGGGTCTATTCCTTTAAAAATTTGTGATTCATAACATGTTATTATTCTCATAGTGGCTCAAAGATTACTATCCTAGCAAAGTTCGAAAGTAAATATCGATGTTTCTTACAAATAGGAAACAATGGAAGGAGCAACGGCCGGGGTGTGTCGAGATTCCACCGGAACTCTCGTCGACGGCTTCGCCAAATCCACACGCGTCTCCTCGGCTCTCCATGGTGAAACCCTCTCTTTAGGTAAAGCCCTCAAATTTGTCTCTTCCAGAAGCCACGGAAGTCTACTAGTTTGGGTCAGATTGTTTAACCTTAGTTGAGTCTATCAAGAGTGCTTATCATGGAAGTGAGAGAGTTTACTACTCCGCTTTCCCTATCGGATTTTACCAGCGTAACGGTCTTATAAATTACTGTTGGTAGATTAAGGACAGTCACATAAATTCTTGAAAAATATGGTCAGCATCTTCTTATGCCTCTAAACCAAAGTAGTCATACAATTTTGCCGACGTTCATGATGTATATCAACAAATTTTGTGGATGAAGACGAGACACACAGGCAGCATGTCGATTCTTTCCACCAACACAAACGCCAAACATCGTGGGACAAGAATCCTGGAATTAATATGGAGTCGATGAATATACGGAAACAACAAAAACAAATTTATTTTTGTACAACCCCCGGAAGGACACGAGAAACGTCAGGATGCCCAAAAAGAAGAGAATAGAAAATGCCCAGAGCTAAGCTTTGGCGCTCTCTATGCTGGTCACGAACTGGTTCGCATCAGGCGCGTCAGCTCCTGCAGAACCCCGGAACAACAGGATGGCCAGGCTTCCGATGCAGAAGTAGATGAAACACCCGAACCGGTGCGTCACGAAGGACCCGAAGTCCGTCCCCACTATGCACTGCCATCCCGGCCCGTACGTCCTGTCGAACTCCTGCATACATTAAGTTCGTTCCCCATATCAGCGCTTCGTGATTGTAATATCGCGGAATAATTCGATGCTAGTAATTCGTTTTATTCGCTCGTCACTACCTGCTTGATGAAGCGGGCGATGTCGGTGGCTTCCGTGACGTCGTAGTGGTCGAGAGCCTTGGAAGCCAAATCCAGCGCGTGCTGCTGCATGGCCCGAAACATGTCCGTCTCGCCGATCACCGCTTTCCCTTCGAGCATTCTCGGCGACGTCGAGCCTCTCGATTCGAGCTCGGCTTCTCGAGTGGGGTATTGAGAATGGACCCGGTTGGAGTAGCCGAAGTGCGCGCCCAAAAGTGTTCTACTCGAGTTTCGGATCAATATGTGGGCGGCGAAGAGAGTTTATACGGAGCTGAGGGGAGAGAGTGTAGGGTCCGGCGTGGGCAACACGGACGAGCCACGGGTGGACCCGAGATGGAGACCGCGAGTGCAAGAGGAAGCACGTCACGTGGTGCCTGAAGTTTTCGCGGGGTTGGGGTGGTGGGGGCTGTGCACCTGGAGGCGAAGGACGAGACAGGTCATCTCAGTCATGAGCCACGACATGCATCGTTCCAAAAAAACAAAGAAGGCCACCACCGGAAAGGACGATCGTTGCGTGGCCCGCTTCATCATCGCGCGAAACGTGGCGCGGTGACTGAGCTGTGCGGTGGTTCATCGGTAGGATTTCGCCAGGTGGTGGGCTGGCGGTTTTGTCCGTGTCCGACCGGAGATTGTCGTCCAGGGAATGTCTGGAGGGACGAGACTAGAGACATCTTTTGTCTGTACCGGGGAAGTTGGAGTACAAGTTGCCCACAGCCTCCTCCTCCCGCTCCATCTGTCGTTGATTCATTCCGTCGGGAGACTTCTAAAAGGACGATGTTGTAAGTTGTAACCGTGTTCCCATAGATCTGAGCCGTTGAATCGAGATGAGAAAATCTCAAGCGTCGAAACGTGTAGGACAGTTTCACCTGATTATTCGCCTTTGAAAATCTGCAGACGTTACGTATTTTTTGGCCTAATACTCTAAAAAACTCAAACTTTAACTTTTGTCCCAATTTTACTTTTTGTCTCGTAAAAAGCCTCAGGCTTTTGGTCCAATCCTAATTCTACCATAAATTTTTTTTTGTCTTATAAAAAACCCTCAACTTTAGGTCTTATCCCAATTTTACCCTAAACTTTTTTTGTCCGATGAAAAACCCCCAATTTTAGGTCTTGTCCCAATTTTACCCTCAAATTTTTACAGCCTCATAAAAAATCATATACTTTTACTTCAGTTACAAATCCGCTTTTATTAACCCTCGGTCCAAAATTTTTCATTGACAACTGAGAGATGGAAAACTCTCAAGCACGAGCTGTTCGAGTGCTCTTCGATTGCGAGAGATGGAACATTCCCAAGCAGGAGAGATCGACGAGCGCAAAATCCCTAAGGGCGATTTTGATGGAGGGCTAATGGAGAGCAGGACTCAAGTAAAAGTATGTGATCTTTTATGAGACAAAAAAATAGAGTGAAAATGAAATTATACCTAAAGTTGGGATTTTCTTATGAGATAAAAAAAAGTTTAGAGTAAAATTGGTACTGAACCTAAAGTTGAGGGTTTTTTATAAGACAAAGAAAGTTTATGGTAGAATTTAGACTTAACTTAAAGTTGAGGGTTTTTTATGGGACAACAAAAAGTTTAGGGTAGAATTGGGACATAACCTAAAGTTTGAGGATTTTTATGGGACAAAAGGTACAATTGGGACAGAAAGTAAAGTTTAAATTTTTTTTGGGTATTAGGCTCATATTTTTATGGTTAAATGCCGTAAAATTGAATTTCTTTTCTCTTGAAAGCTTGTGATGGTTTATAATGATCTATCGAGATTATAAACAAAACATCGTAAAATTAATTATTTTTTTTGTTATGACGATTTGCAAATGTTTAGGATGGTCTACCTAAACTTGGAACTAAACTTTGTAAAATTGAATTTTCTTTCCTTACGACAATTAAGGAAGGTTATTCTTTGTAAAAAAATATAGGGTTTTAATACCACCAAAAACCCCAAACCGGTACACCTATGATAAATTTATCCTAAACTAATTTTTTGACCACCAAAAACCCCAAACTGATACATCCGTGACAAAAATACTCTAAATTAATATTTTGACCACCAAAAACCCTAAACCGGTATATTTGTGACAAATTTACCCTCTATTAAATTGGATTAATATCATGAAAAATCACAAACTGATACACCTGTGACAAACGAAGGGTAAAACCCCAAACTGGTATATCCGTCAACTGCCACGCGTCATCCAACTAAAAATTTTGATGGTAAAATTTAATAGAAACTTATTGAGGGTAAAATTGTCATAGGTATACTAGTTTGAGGTTTTTTGTGGTCAAAAAATTAGTTTGGGATAAATTTATCACAGATATATTAATTTTAAGTTTTTTGTGGTATTAACCATTTTATTTATAATTCGAAGGGTAACGAATCCGTTTGATTCAACTTTAGGGAAATGCAAAAACCTTTGCGCTAAATGGGTTCTGTGAGATGTAAATAATGTTCGGTGAATTGTGATTCTAAAATTCACTGGGAAACGACTTTGATTTAAATTGTGTTTGGTAAAATCACACTTTGAAAAGCAAAAGCACACAAAATCAGTAAGACTAAGGGTGCGTTTGGCAATTTGCCAAATAGTAACTGATTCTGTTCTTTTGTTCCCAGAATCAGTTTGGGAACAGAAATCCGTTTGTTAAATTTTTTGTGCCAGCGCACAATTTTGCAAAAAATTGTGCCAAGAATCAGTTTTGGAACAGAATCAATAAGCAAAAAAAAGTAGCTTTTTGATTCTAGAACAATTTTTCCGGAACTAATTCTTCTTGGTTTTCTTCCTTTTTTTAGTTTGTTGTTGTTCTTCGGCCTCGCCACCCGTCGGCCGCCGGCTACAGGCGATAGGCCAAGGTCGGCGAGGGCGTCGCGGCCCTCGCTGGTGGCCGACGAGGGTGGCTCGCGGCCGCGACGACGAGGCCTCGCCTTGGCTAGGCAAGGCTTGACCTCGCCGTCGCCGGGGTTGGCGGCGAGGGCCGCGAGGCCCTCGCCGGCCCTGGCCTATGGCCGGTCGCCGACGCCGGCGGCCGGCCATGGCCAAGGAAGGGAGGGGAAAGAAAGGAAAAAAGAAAGAAAAAAAGAAAGAACTATTAAAAAAATTCAAAATATTATTAATAAAAAGAAATTTTATGTAGTTACCAAACGCATTTCTGTTCTTTTTCTATTCTAAGAACAGAAATTTTGGGCAGTTACCAAACGCCTTCAAATGCTTAGAAATTATTTCTGGGTATAGAATAAAAAAGAATTATTTCTGTCCAGAATCTGTTTCTAGGCACAGAATGATTGTCAAGCGCAGCCTAAACGGCCGTGAGACTAAACTGGCTGCCAACGAGCCAAATCTGATGCTGGCAGCCTCACTTGAGGTCGCTCGACCTGAAGTGATGAGGCTTGGGTTGTGCGACCCTAGGTGACTATCGCCAGAGTTGGTTTTGCCACCGGCCACATATGGCCTCGCTTGCCTAAAACCCAGCTATCGATGTTGCATTAGGTAGGGACATTTCCGTAAAGTTGGAAGAAAAAAAGTATATTCGCATTTCAGAAAATGCTATCTTTCAAAGTACCTCCGGACCGATCTTTTGCTAAAATATATGCATTCGGAAATGTAATTGCATTTCCCCAGAGTTGAGCAAAAATTGAACCAAACACCATTTATATTTGCTCGAGAGATCTTAAGAGTTCCAAAGCCCATTTGAAATGCTGATCGCAACGAGGCCGACATCTGAGCCCATAAAACAAACCTCAGAGCATAGCAAATCTCGAAAGGCCAGTGGTGGGTGGGTTAACCAATTCTCAAGAAGGTCATGTTCACCCTGGCCTTTGCAATCCAGTCCCACTGCACTATAAAACGTATTAGGGGTTTTCTGAAAGTGGCCTAATCATGCCCCTCTCAAGGCCCGATACAATTGGGCCCCGTCATCTAACGACGATCGCGCTCTCGGACGGGGCAACACTCTTTACACGACGAGCGTCGAGCCACCGACCGGCGTCTCCGCTCGCCGCCCCCGCGCTTTCGAAATTTCCGGCTCCACCGCTTCTCTGCTCCGGCTCCACCGCCTTTCCTCTCGACTCACCACCAGTCACCACCCACGCTCAACCCTCACCATCCCGTTCCACGCCATCCTCACTTCGAGCTTGCATCGGAAGCCGCCGATTTCGAGCTGCCTCCACGATTTCGCCGCGGAAGAACCAAGCTAAACCATCGAGCGAACAGGTCGCAGGCGGACGAAAATGACGAGCTCGCTAGCGTCCTGGTTCTCGTCTCCTCTCGAAGTACTTTCTCTGCGATTGAACTGTTAGCGCGTTGTGTTTAGCAGCTTCACGTTTTTAACTCTCCAAGTTCCGCGATGGTTTCTGCCTTTTGCCATTTCGGTTATCGGGGGCGGCAAAACCCGTCTCCTAGGGTTTTTTGGGACTTCTCCCCCCGGTTTTCAATCGATGTCGCTGGTCGATGGTTGCGCGCGTCCCGCGTTGTTTTCCTCTTCCGACGACTCGAGTTGGGTCGTCCAGCATCTGGGTTTTGCGAGTGTAATGATGATGGTTTTGTTTTGTACAGACACTGTCCCACTCGTCTGAGATGTTCTTGCAGTGCCGGTGATCGTAGGCGGTGTTGAGGAGTTCGGTCCTGTAAGCATGGGAGACTTGCCGAGGTATATGACCTTTTCTGCTCTTATTCCGTTCGGTTGCTGGTACGGAGAGATACAATAGCCGAGGTCTTCGGCTTGAGACTCCCTTGCTTTGCTGTATGGTTTTGAGAGCAGGGCTACCTAAGATGTTTCTTGCTTCGAGTGGTTGATGCAGTGTTCCTGGATCTCTATTCATTGTTGTCCGGTTTCTCTGCAAGGAGCTTGTGCCTCGAATTGATCTCATAATGCGGGAGTTTCCTCCAATTTCAGGGAGGATGCCGGCAACACGCTTCGGATACTCGTGGCTACAGACTGTCATCTGGGGTACATGGAGAAGGATGAAGTGCGGCGGCACGATTCCTTCCAGGCATTCGAAGAGATCTGCTCTATAGCTGAGAAAAAGGAGGTTTCTAATCATAATCCTGTTTGTCTCATTTACCACGATTTTATCACCTTGCTATTTTACATGTTTCAAACTAGTCCACGGAAGGTTGTACTTTTTTCTTCTGCATAATACATCTTTAGTGGCCTGTAAATATATTCATTTGCTACTGCTTATGGCTAAATACCCTGGATCGAGTGGCAGTTGTCCGTCAAGCCAATAATCTGCACTTAATTAATGCTGCAGATGCTACATCTTGTCTACCTGGAAAAAAGGATGGAGAATATGCATTCACACTTGCATGATAAAGTTTTTTGATTGCTTT